ATTTAGAATAGCTGTTTTGCTTCAGATTTTCACTAATTTAATTCCAGCTAGCTTCCATATGTAGAAAAGCCCTAAGGCTGTTTTTTTGTGAGAAGGCACTGGAGGAGTAGCTTAAAATATATTCTTAACCTAGCACTGGGATTAATAAAACCTGTATCTTAAAGAAAGAAAGAAAAAGAAAACTATTATCTTTCAAATGTATTTTTAAGATTTTTGGTAACACCTTTATTGGAACATGTAATAAGATTCAATGCTACATTTGAAATGTGTGCATCACATTTTGAAAAACAAACTGAATTTATTGAACAAAGATGAAATTATCACCTCCTAAGTGAAAATGCAAGTTATGTGAGAGAGGGTCAAATAAATAACTTAATACTCTAAATAGCTCTAACTTTTGCCTGGATAAATGGAACGCCTTTTCTCTCCCTCACCTGCTGATATTTTGTCTGTCCATTTTCTTGTTGCAGGAGTGTGCATGTGTTAAATATTTGGAAAGCACTTAAGGCCTGGATATATTGACATGACACTATGATATGTTTGCTGAATAAATCAAGTAAAACAAACAGAAAACTACTTACAGCTATTTGTAGGTTTTCAGGTCTGTTTCTGCACATTGTAGAGGTTAACTGTCTTCCAGTTTCATGAAGGCAATTCTAATATTAAACATCCAGAGAGAAGGGATGGAACGATGTTTTGCAAAAGCCAGTGAAAATTTGCTTTAGAAAGTTTTTTGCTTTGAGGTATTCATCCAGCCTATCATGGATGAAAAAAAAAATCTCCTAAAGCTTCACTTGGCCACTTTTTTCCAGCCACCTAGTAATATAGTTATTGGCTTTATGTTAACAGCTAATAGAAAATAATACTAGTTGCATATATGATGATAATAATATAATAAGACTAATGATCATACTAATACTAATTACCCCTGACAGTTTTGTGCCTCCATGTAACTAGTATCATTATGTCTAAGTGGAAAGAATGAAAGCTGAGGGCGAAATTGAAGTACAATTGCTTTGTTTTTGTCTTCATGTCTCTTTTGTATAGACATAATAAAAGGCTATCCCACTCTCATGAAAATATGATGAAGCTGGGAGTTTCCATAGTTTAAAAAAATACGCAGTTTTATAATGAATATAATGCATAACTATGGAGATCTGTAATCTAATTTTAAATATTAATGACTAGCATTACACCGAGAGCTACTAAATGTCTTGGGAGCAGTTTTTATCGGTAAAATGAAGACATTTACATAGGCTTGGATATCAGTATTTGATTGAGAAAAGTATTTGATTTGAATATAGAAGCGTTTGAGTGTTTGGCTTTACAGTCAAGGTTATGGAGCTGTATGCATATAGGTGACAGGCAGGAGAAAGTCATGAGTGATGGAAGAAAGTCAAGGCAGTCTTAAGTTTTACAAGGATGACGGCAACCTCTGTTGCCTCCCCTTTTTTCCCCCCAGTCCCTGTGCTCTTAGTAGTGTGGTGTGCTGTGGCTTGGTAGATGCAGGGCCACACTGTCTGCCTACCCTGCCACCCCATGAGGTTCTTTCAAGGTGCCACAGTGCAAGAAGGCGAGTCTAAAAACGTTGAGAGCCACTGCTTTAAAGCAATTTTTTGTGAAGATAATTGTAGAAATATAAATCGAGTAGCAGAGACAGAACATTTACTCATGTGCAGAATCTAGGGGAAAGGTAAGAGAAAAGAGCAGATGTGTCAGACTGAAGATTGGAAAGGGTAAATTCAGTTGGTTAATGATGTTATTTCTCAGTTCTTGTGTGAGAATGCTTTGACTATCTAGAACAGACAGGTAGCCTTCAACACTGGATGTGCAGGGTATTGACTAAGGCCTCCCCTACATATTACCTTTATGCCATGATTAATAAGTTATTTGTGGCATAAATGGGAAGGGAGCTACAAGTGTGAGAGGCCATGAAAAGTATTTTTTTTATAGCTTGTTTATATGGTTCCTCAAATTTGAACTTGTGGCTGGGGCTAACAGTCAGTAGTCAGTTTCTGAGCTGGGGTTGCACAGGACCTGGAACCACCCCCTCTCCTCATGGTCCAAGTCCCTGGATTGACCATCAGTTGATTGGGGGGGGGGGGGGGGGCGGGTTTGCTGTGCCCCAAGGGGAGCGGACAGGGGATCAGAGCTTTCCACCTGGGGACTTTAAATCCTATGCCTGGGAGCATTTTGTCCAGGGCCTTACTATGTATGCTATATTGAAGGTTGCTTCAACTGCTAGCTTTGGAGAGCAGAGCATGGTTAATTCCAGTGCAGATAGAAGGTGGTTTAAATGTGCTGCATTTCTGGTAGTGAAAAGGAGGGTTAAGACAGGTAAGTGGCAGGTTTGAGAAAAGGTTGATCAAGGAGGAGAGGATATTGGATAAATGGTCTTGAGGAATAGACAAAATTTTAAAAAATGATTTTTATTTTGTTACTCTATTATTTGAGGATTGCATGCTCTCATTCCTATTTTTCCCAAATTCAAGAAAGTGTTCTTTATTTAATGTTTATAAAACCCTTTTTATTAACAAATGCAACTTATCAAATGACAATTTAACTTTTACATCCAAGTCTTTTAAAATATATATAAATGCAGATATTTGTCTTCTATGAACCATGCTCCTGTAACCCAAGTTGATGTCTACAGGAGTATTTTGTCTTTTTCTTTTCCTTTAGTTATGACAGTTTTTGTTTCAATCAATGTTAAGTTTTTGTTCTTCATCTCTGTTTGACAATTCACTCCTTTTTCCTAAGAACTTTGCATAATACAGATCTTGCCATTTTCTACTCATCTTTGCTTTTAAATGCTGAATGTATTTCAGTCTTGTTCTTCATTGTTAGCTTGTAGAACTTGCACTTTCCTTCAGTGTTCAAAAATGTTTCTTAAACTTTCTGGTTTGGAGGCAGGAAAAGGTTTGTTTTTAGCAAATTCCACGAATTGCCAAGAAATTTAGAAAATTTCTCAGTAAGCATTTTCCCTTCCTTCGCTGTTGAGCACTGACTTCATAAGACAACTTTTCCATTATTAAAATTTTCAAAACATTTTGAAACTAGATAGTGATTTTAGGGGTGTTACTTCTCCCGAGTTTTGTAATTATAACGAAAAAAATCTTCTGACTTGTTTTCTTCAACTTTCATCCTTTGAGAAACATCCCTGTGTCTGTTAAGTAGTTACCGTAATAAACTCCAAAGGTTTTCTTTTCCCCCTTTACCCACTGTGGAAAACTGATAGGTGATATAAAGCACTCTAAGTGTGTAGCCTTTTTCAGTGCCAAGGCTGTGCATTTATCCCAATGTAAAAAAATCAGGGTTCACTGAGGATGCAGATGTGTTGGTGTCATGGCACTAGCAGGCCCCAAACTGATTAACTCCCTTCATTTTCAAAGATGCTGTCTGTCCTGCTGTAGAAGCCCTGAAAATTAGGGATGGTAACAGGTACTTTCTAGAACAAAGGCAAGCTCTCCAGCCATAAGTGTAGTAGGGGACTGTTCTTTGGGTCCTCTTGCCCCCAGTGGAGCCTGATCACTGAGAGCCTGGTCTCCTGTGTTGCGGAAGGGGGCAAGCTATTTATGATCAGTTGGTGAAAAACTGTAGCTGCCCAAAACAGTCCCCTAACCTGAAGGGATGGCAGGGCAAGAAGAACTGCTAAAGCCCCAACTCTTGCCAAAGCTCTTGTAGTAACGGCAGGAATTCCTATTTCCTAACCCTACCCCTACTCTCTATGCTGCTTGCCTACTCTATTGATCAATTGATTCATGGTAGGGGTAGTAGTTGGACTTGCCACTTGAAAAGTCCCTGCTCTGTCCTTGAAGTTCATTCTGATTTCTTTAACTTATTCAAGAGAACAGTATGGGGTGATCTGTCTGTGTAAGAATCTATGAGATTAACAACAATTTTGTGGAGAGCTCTTCAATCGAGCAGAAAAATATTTAACTAGTCAAAGCTAGATAAATTGAGGCATTGGGGTTGGAGTACACATAGCTAAACATTGGGATAGTTCTTGTAGACCCTTTAAATCAAGATGAAATATGGTTGTTGGTTACATCACGTGTATGGGTTTTACCTTTCCTTTCCCCACCCCTCTTTAAAAAAAATGAATAAAAAATTAAGGTGCAATTCAAAAATGACTTGAAGTATAGGGGGAGACCCTAAAAGGAGTCCAGTCTAGATAATTGCATTGATCACTTCCAATCTCTCTCATTTTGGAGAAGCAACTCCAAAGAAGTACAGTCATTTACACCATCACTCCTTATTCCAAGTTAGGGAAGCCATATAGTTGTCTTTTTCATTTGCAAAGGAAGTGACAACTTCATAGGCTTATGCTTTGGTGGAAGCTCTTCACATGGAGCATGTGTGCATTTTGTCAGGTGCAGGTACATGTTGGGATTAAGAAGGTTCAACCTAGTGTTCTAAAGCAAAAAGCCTGTAGCTTTACATACAGTTATGAATAGATCTATTTTTAGAGACGCTTGACATTCTGCTTTGAATCTTTTTCACAAAAAACACTTGATTGTCTCTTATTTGCAAATTTTCAGTGAGTATAGCACTCCCACAAATGTAGATTAGTGCACTTGCAAAATTATACTTAGACTTGTACTT